GGTGAGTATTTATTGTAGAAAGAGGAAGAAGAGCAAAGAATGGAAGAAGTACAAAAGAAGTTCACTGTCAAAGGGTTAGCTGGTGTGCTCATCTGTGTGCTTACATTCTCAGCGTCTCTTGTGGCATCTAAAGGTAGGTGTTAGAAATGATTAAACTCTGTGAACAAGGTATGTCAATGGTAATAATGATAACGATCACCCTGGAGCACTTTAAATGTCATATATAGTAGGGCACCACTTACATGGCAGGTTAGGTTCCAGGCTACTGCTGGAAAGCAGACATCAACGGAAAGGAGAACTCCATTTTTTCCACTTATTAACTCTTAAACTGTCCAAACATAGATCTACGTTTGCACACGTAGCGCTCCTACCTTGATTTTCTCCATAAGAAACAATGTAAAAAAACGTAGATCTATGTTCGGAGCACTATGCAAGCAAACATAGATCTACGTTTGGACAGTTTAAGGGTTAATGCGTATAAATGCCTGATAACACATTAACACTAACATAGATGAAGTCAGCAATAGAGCCAGGCATTAAAAACAGTAAAAATTAAAATACACACACAGTATACCCATTACTTACCTTAAAATGTTTGTAGTCTTAATGTAGGGTGAGAGGTGAGTTTTTTTTTGTAGGAAGTCAGGTTTGGGAAGTTTGGTAGCCAGCCAAGTCAGCCCACCTCACCCACACATAATATGCTACAACATTTAATTAAAGCACCCCAGAGCGATAAAATACATATACAGTACATTGTACCATAGTCTTAATGTAGGGTAAGAGGTGAGTTTTATTTGTAGGAAGTCAGGTGGTAGCCAGCCAAGGCAGCACTCCTCACCCCACCCCATCCACACATAATGTAAACAAACTAGACGAACACTTCTGGTTTTCGTCACTTTACAGTGTGTAGAAGTTGTCTCCACATTGATACAGTAGAATAAATAAAGAAAAACACTCCCATTCTCCTGTAACACCATTTTTAGAAGAAATGACACTCTGAGCGAAGACATAGAAAAGGAATAATTTTCCAGTTACCCTCAGTAATATTATAGTGACACATTTTCTCTGTTGGACTACAAGTCACCTGGCAACCACAAGTCCTACAAGTCACCTGGCTACCACATCTCATATTTATGTTAATTTATTCTATCGTGGGGTGTTTATATGTTACGTAACATGTTTATTATATAAGTTTGAAAAAAATATCATAGGTGGATTAATGGAAATGACAACATTTAACCCTTCGAGGGTCGACAGGCCCTCTCCGAGACTCGTTCTCAGGGTCGGCCAAATTTAAAAAAAAAAAAAAAAAATTCTTATGAAAAGATAGAGAATCTTTTCCCGATCATAATGACACCAAAATTATGAAATTTGATGGAAAACTTAATGAATTATGCTCTCGCGAAGTTAGCGGTCTCGGCGATGTTTACGCATCGGTGATTTTGCCCACTTTGAGCCCCATTTTCGGCCAATTCCACTGCACTAGTTGACAAAAAACATGAATATTTCGCTAGAACTCCATTTTTTCTATCGAATGAGTGCAAGAAACCACCCATTTACCAATTTCAACTATCCAATACAGTGGTCAGAATTTAGCAATTTTGCCAATTTCACACAAATTTCAAAAGATGCCAATTTCCGAATAGGGTCCAGAATAAACAAGAAAGACATTCCTGGCACTAAAATGACATTTCCTTTGTTCATTAGTCACGTCTCAAGGCCCCTCTTACATTCTTTTGCTTTCCACTTTGAATTTTTATTCTCACAAAAAATAGAAGATTTACTGTTATGCAGACTACTGCATTAGTGTAAAAAATGGTATAAATAATATCAGCGCACTTGCAAAAGAATATTAGACTCACCAGTTGACGTATATTGCACGCTTGGCATGATTTGTTTACTTTTGAACTTCGGTAAAAATCGAACATTTCTGCTACTTTGAGCTCAATTTCAAGGTACTTTTCATTGTAAAACCAGTCAAAATCATCTCAATTTTTGTAACATGTCTTCCATTCTATAAAATGAGACCAAGAAAACTAGAATACAACAATAAATACCATACGAAAATACAGTGCAAAGTCGCTGATTTATTCCAAAAAAATGGTCCTACAAGGCATTGTGCACTGTGTGCTGCAGGATTTTTTTTATACTGTGCACACTGACCACATAGACCCATTCTTTCATATGTAGGCCTACCAGCTTTTTCCCACTAGATTTGAGGGCGCTAGAATTTAAGCGTACTAGTACGTCAAAAACCCTGGGTCGTAAGCCGTACTAGTACGGCCGAAACCATCAAAGGGTTTATGTGCCCAAGAGATTATTAATATGGTGTCTTCAAAAGTATAGAGAGACTTTTAGTGATTTTAATGTGTACTTGCATGCTAGCACAGTGTGTAAGTATATTTAGGTACAGGTACACATAAGTACTATAATTATCAGAGTACATATAAAATATGCAATAACTTTAAAATGCATGAAATTTTGGAAAATTTCCAGACATAATAGAAATATGTCCTCATGAGAATGTAAACAAACCAGGTGGGGCATGCTGTATTTGAAAGACCACTCACCGTTAGCAAATTTTGGTCATAATTTGAAATTGCCGTATTAGCAGAACACTGTAAAGCAGGGCCTACTGTATGTACTTCATATAGGTTTGGTAGCTGACATTTAAGTGCTACAGAGCGATTGTTGTTGTTGTTATTACCATCGACATACTGCGTTCACTGAGTCTAATAATTTCTAACACCTACCTTTAGATACAGTAGACAGTCATTTAACACGGTAGTTACGTTTCTGAAAATGCCATGCTAGGTAAAAACCGTGTTAGATGAACTGAAGAACTTGAGGGAGAAATAGGGTTACATTCCTGAGAGCCCATAAAAACCAAACAAATTTTTTTTTGTTTTAGGCCTCCACCTCTTACAAAAATAAAAGTGAATATGTAATTGTAGTTTATTGTTGTGATGTATTTTTTGTTTTAAAACTGTTTAAAAGCCCAAAAATTTAAAAGAAATAAAATATTTTCCCCTCCTTAAATTGGGGGGTGCGGGTGTTTGGGGATGATTGTGAAAGATTTGGAGAGTTATTTTTGTGGTCCAAATTTTGGGCGAGGTGGATGGAAAGAGGTTTTGGTACTAAAAGTTGATGTTATTTTTTGGAGTGTCTAATTTTTTTTTTTTTAAAAATTTCAGTAATTTAGCCCCAAATCTTTTCCAGTAAGTAAAAAGTCTTTTCAGTAAGTCATCAGTCACTCAAGTCAATAAGTCATTTCAATTTCAGTAATTTCAGCCCAAGAAAATTCATCAGACAAAGTCTTTTAAGTCAGGTCAGTCGGTCAGTAAACCCCAAGTCAGTAAGCCCAATCAGTCAACCATTCAGAAAGGTTTTTTTCAGAAAGGGTCATTTTAAAGTCTTTCATAAGCCCCAGTCGGGTCGAGTCATTCAGTCAGCCCCAAGTAGAAAGGGCCAATAAGTTATTAAATTCAAGCCCAGTAAGTCAAGAAAGGGTTTATTTCAGTCTAGTCAGAAAGGGCTATTCCCATTCAAGTCGGGTAAGTCAGTCAACCGGGAAAGTCAGTTAGTCATCAGTCACTTCATTACGCCACAGGTTATCTCTTGCCCCAAATTTATTTTTTGTTTTGTTTTTTTTAATTCAAATTTCTTAAACGCTTTATACCTTTTTTTTGCCACTTTTCAGCAAAACCACTAAATATGCCTACTGGGTTTTCCATGTTTTGCGGGCAAAATACAAGAAAAGAAATTTAAAAGATCAAAACAAAATTTCCCACAAACACACCCCAACCCTTGTAGCAAGAAAAAAAAACTGAATCCCAAAAGATATAAAATGTTTGGGAGGGAAAGGGGGTGTGGGGGGGGAGGGCGGGGGTCTCCCCCATTGATCCACAAAAAGGGCCCGGCCCAAACTTGAAGAAAAGAATTTTTTTAATTCCTTCCCTGCAAACTAAAACTGTGTTAAATTAATTTTTTCGACAAAGTTACATAAAAAATGTGGGTGCAATTCTTCAATCATGCATACTGAATCCTGCCAGATAAACGTGCTAAAACCATGGTCCCATTGTACCACAAAAAAACACGAGAATGAAACACACAGATAAAGGGACAACAGCTAAGGGGCCCCCTTTTCATTAACTTCTTCTGAATTCTTCCATTTTCCCCCCCCCTTTTTTTCCCCTTTCCCAATGCTTTCTAATCTCTTAAAATCTGTCTTTGCCCATGAAAGGGGCAAAAAAGTAAAAATTTGTACAAATAAGTGTCCCCTTTGGGGACTGGGAAAGCTATGTAAATGATGGCTGCAGGAAGGAGATTTTAAAATGTTTGACACGGGGATGCCTCACTGCCCATTTCCATGACTCAAGTTCTCGTGTAGCATACAATACCTACTGGTCAGAGTGTCTGTCGTAACTCCGAGTGGTCGGTAAATGAGTATGTCGCTAAGTGAGAAGTGCCTGTACACATGTGCATGCATTATATGTGAGTGAGCGCACACACAGGTCATTAAGACCATATCAAAGCACCCTTGTACCATCTTTGAAAGGTCACACACAACCAGTGTCAGCTGCACTGTTGATAGGATGTGATAGTGTCTTCTTTTAAGTAAGTACATAGAAAATTGTTGGCCTTAACTTTTGTGGGGTTTGAGGATTTTTTGAAGATATCCCCTTGAAAAGGTGTCCATGATGCTGATGGGAGACACAATCCAAGGAATTGGAGGTACCCTCCTCTTCCTTGGATCAGACATAATTTTCTCCTCCCAGGTATGTTATGACTCTTAAGGGTTTAGATCTATTTTTTTTTTATGTTAAATTTTTTGTAAAAATCATTAATAGCTGGTGTACTGTGTAATTAACACAAAATGTTTACATATGAACTAAAATGAGAGATGCCAGATGAAGAAAAAGATTATTATATACAGTATAAAAATATCAGAATTAATTGAAATTTTTAACATTTCTAGTAAATTCTTTATTAATTTTCAGCTCCCGAATGTTGAATCCAAACTAGATGAAGTTACTACCCTTATAGAGAATGACATAGAGATCGTGGTGAAGCGTGGGAAGCGAGCATTTGATTCTATTGCAACAGAGATCCAGAACAAAGTTCAGAGTTCCATACCAGATATCAAGGAAAAGATTTTGGATGCAGGTGAGAATATGAGTGTGTATTAAGTGTTGCCTGGAAGAAAAGAATAAGCACCAAATTTAAGCAATGGAAAAAAAACATAGGCATGGGTAGACCAGATTTATGATGCTTAAATTATATTATATTTATGGGACTTGGTCTATCTTACAGATGTAAAAAACAATATAATATATATATAAATTTTATATATATATATATATATATATATATATATATAATATATATATATATATATTTTATATATAAAATTATATATATATATATATTTTATTTTTTTTATTTATTTATTTATTTAAAATTTGAGCACACATACAGGTACAAAAAATACAGATAAAGCAGCATGCCAAAGCCATTTAAACCTTTATGCATAGCATTACGGGTTTGGTTAAAATTAACTTAAGATAACTAAGCAATGATGAATCGTGATAAAACAAAATGAAAACAGATTACTATAAAGCACAAGTGAGTATTACAAGACAGGTCATATGGTTGAGCATTGTTGTACTTTTGGAATGGGTATTCTGTTAGGTAGTGTATTTAAAAAAAAATAAAGTTAGTTGGGTTTTAGGTTTAACATTTTTTGTGATATAATTGTGAAAACATTTAAGTTTTAAAAATTTTTAAGGTTCAGTTTTTTCAGTATTTATTTTGGGTTTTTGGGTGATAAGTGATCTTTTGAGAAAGACTTTAATTTTTTAAACGGGAGTGTTTCTTTATATTTACAGGGAAAAATTCCAGATTTTAGGGCCCTTTTTTGGCATTGATTTTTGCATAGTGTGAGATGGCACGGGGAAATCAAAAAAGTGACTGGCCTTGTGTTAGGGGCAGGGGGTTTTTGTTGAGGTTGGGGAAGGGGGGTTTTGAGGGGAGGGTTAAAATTATATATAATATAATTAAATAAATATATAAAATATATATAATATATATATTATTTTTTTTTATCCACCGGGCCCATTTTCCCCCCAAGGCAGGGGGGCCCGAAAAAGAAAAAACTTTTACCTCATTCACTCCTCACTTCTTTCCCGAGGGTGCTTTAAAACACTACAGTTTTTAAATGCAAAATTAACCCCCCCTTTCGAGTGCAGGCCGTACTTCCCATCTCCGGGATCAATCCGGCCTCCTTTTCCCCCTAAATCCCTTCAAAAATGTTCCTTTGCTCACACTCCAACAGCAGTCAATTTAAAAACCTTTTGTTCCATTCACCCCTATCAAAACACGCTCCGCTGCCTCGGGAGTCCAAGCCCCCGCACAAAAAAACCTTTTTTAAACCCCCCCCCCCCACCCTTCCTAGGCCAAACCCCCTACCCCCCCTTCCCTTACTCAACGTACACTCTGAAGTCATTCTGTTTCGTCCCTTCTCTCTACTGTCCGAACCCCCTCAACAACCCTTCCCCCAGCCCTCTGGACAACATTTTGGTAATCCCGCACCTCCTCTAAATTCCAAACTACAATTTTTCCCGCTTTTATTCACACCACACATTGCCCCAGACATGACACTCCCCTCCTCCAGCCTTCTCCTGCTGAACATTATCACCCACGCTTCCACCCATTAAGAGGGGGGTAAAACTTTACTCTCAAACATTCCCCTTTTTTCCCCAAGGACAAATTTTCTTTGTTTCCACAGACTCCTAAGGCCCACTCACTCTTTTTCCCTCATAAATTCAGATTCCCCTCACTTCATGACCCATCCGCTACACGTCCACCCCAAAAATATCTAAATACGTTCACCTCCCCATACTCTCTCCTCCAATCTGATATTAATCTTTCATCCCCTAATCTTTTTTTACCCCTCATAACCTTACCTTTCCTGTATTCACCTTTAATTTTTTCTTTGCACCCCCTCCCAAATTTCTTTTCCCCCAATCTCGCAACTTCTCTTCAGAATCCCCCAAGAGCACGTGTATCACAAAGAAGCAGCTGTGAAAAATCCCATTTTGGGTGTTTTTTATTTTTTAAAACCCCCACCCCTCTTCCCAAAAAACCCTCGCTTTTACTTCTCTTACAACCCCATCTATAAAATATTAAACAACCACGGGAATCACACTCCTTGTCTAAGGGCCTACTTTTACGGGAAAAAATTTCCCTTCTTTCCTACATCTCTAACTTGAGCCTCCTACCCTCGAAAAAAAATCTTCACCTTTCGAAACCTACCTCCTACCCCAAACCCTTGCAACATCTGCCACATTGCCCCCCTATCCACCCTGTATACGCCTTTTCCAAATCCAAAATCCAAAAAGACCTTTTTTACCCTTTATCTAAATCTGTTCATTTATATGTTCACTGTAAAAACCTGGTCCAACACCCCCTACCTTTCCTAAAAGCCTCCTTGTTTTCATCTGCTATCCCATTCTCCGTTTACTCTTAATTCTTTCAATTAACTCTACCAAAAACTTTTCCAGTACACTCATAAGATTATCACCCTATAATTTTTGCACTCTCTTTTATCCTTTTGCCTTTATTACAAAGGTAAATATTCATGCTCTCTGCAATCCCTAGGTACCTTACCCTCTCTTCATTCATTTATTATAATAATGGCTCCATCCACTCCAAAAACTATAATCCCCACCTGCTTTTAACATTCTTTCTTTATCCATCAATCCCGGATGCCTTTCCCCTTTCATTTTACATACTGCACTCTCGAACTTCCCCCACACTCACAACTGCTCTTCCTCCACTCCTACAGATGTTTTTCCCCTGGCCCTATACTCGAAATCCAGCTTCCCTATCTTTCTTCAACATTTTACCAATTCCTCAAAATATTCCTTCATCTTCCCAATACCTCCGAAATCTCCATGTAATAACTTCCTCTCCTATTTTTAACTGACAAATCCATTTGTTCTCTAAGGCGTTCTTAATTGTTAATCTCACGCCAAATACTTTTTCTTATTTTTCAACAAAATTTGTTGATAACATCTCACCCACTCTCTCATTTGACTCTCTTTTTACATTGCTTCACCACTCTCTTAATTCCTCTCTGGTTCTCCATATACTCTTCCCTCCTTGCATCACTTCTACTTTGTAAAAACTTCTATATTGCTTAATTTTTCCCCCTTACTACTTCTATTACATCATTCATTCCACCAATCGCTCTCTTCCCTCCTGCTCCCACTTCCTGTATAACCCACAAACTTCTGCTGACACTCTAACAATACATTTTTATACCTACCCCATTCCTCTTCGGACCCCATGCCTATGCTCTCATTAGCCTTTCTATCCTCCAATATCTGTTTATATCTTACCCTTAACTGCCTCCTCTTTTAGTTTATAAACCTTCACCTCTCTTTCCCTGATGCTTCTAGTCTCCTTGTATCCCATCTACCATTTTACTCTCAGTATATATATATATATATTATAGATATATTATATTTATATATATATAATATATATCATATATATAATATATATGTATATATATATAAGATATATTATATATTTATATTTAATATTACTATATATATTTATAATATTAATAATATATATATATATATTTAATATTTTATATATATAATATATATATTTATATATATATATATATAATTTATATATATTAATATATATAATATATATATATATATATATAATTATATATATATATATAGATATTAATATATATATATATATTATATATTATATATATTATATATATATATATAATATATTTATATATATATGTATATATACAGTGGGACCCCGACATAGCGAACTAATAGTGCAAGAGGGCTGGTCGTTATGCGAAATGTTCGCTATGCGAATTAATTTTCCCCATAAGAATAATGGAAATAAATTTATACGTGCCAAGACACCCAAAAGTGTATGAAAAAAATTTTTTTTACCACAAAAAAAATGTTAATTTTTGTGCACACAAATGAAAAGGCTTGCACAATGACATGACACTTACTTTTTATTGGAAGTTCTGGTGAGATTGATGGGCTGGGGAGGAGGGGAGAGAGAGTAGAGTGTTAGTGTTTAGAAGGGGATATCCCACGTCCATTAGGACTTGAGTAAGCATAGTACTTTTCTGGGGTTACTTCCTTCTTCTTTTAATGCACTAGGACCCAGAGCTTCAGAGTCACTGGAACTTCTTTCGCACAACATATCCTGTCAATAGAGGCCCTGTACTCTCGTTCCTTTTATTTGTCTAAAGTGGTTCACAACAGAGTATTGTAACAGTCACCAGCACGGCTTGCAATTGCTGTAGTGATGTGAGGGTGATTTTCATCAAAAAAAGTTTGCATTCAAGCCATTTGTACACCATTTCCTAATCTATTGATAGTAGGCCCAATTCCTTCAATTCTCTCTCCCCTCTGGGAACTGTTTCCCCAGGTCTGGCCTCTTGCTCTTGAGTTGATCTATCAGCTCATCAGTGGTTAGTCTTCTTTGTCCTCCTACAACTACTCTTCCACATCCTACCCCACTAACTCAACCCCTGGACTTCCCCAATTCCACATTTGATCTCAACTTGTATACTACTCTATCTCAGGGTTAGCCTCTAACCTTCCAAAATCCTTTTGTCTACACATTCTGGCCACAGTTTCTTCCAAGCAGAGTTCAGGTTCTCTTAGTCACTCCCTCCCATCCTTACCTATAAGGTTTACACAATTGAGGATTATAAAGTGATCCTTCAAAACTCTTTTTGAGTCAATTCGAGTGTCTGTGGTCACTTCAAAGCACTTTTGAAACAGAGCTTTTGTGTACAGTTCTTGAAGGTGGAAATGACCTGCTGGTCCATGGCTGCAGGAGAGAGTGGTATTAGGAAGGCAAAACTTCCCTCTAATGATGCTCATGTCCCCATAAAGTCGCTACTGCCAAGTCTGTTGGATGACCAGGGGCATTGTCTTACACCAGAGGCACTTAAGTCTAATTTCTTTTCAGTTAGGGAATCTTGCACATTGTGGGGGCAAATGCCATGGTTGTAACCAGTTATAGTAAATCCCCCTAGTGGAACCCATGCCTTACTGTTTGCCCTCCACAGCACACACAAATTATCCTGAGGACATTCTTTT